AGAGGGCATATGACCTTCCCTTCAAGTCTAAACAATAAAGCTGGCGAGCTGCAGACTGCACTCTCTCGCGGGCTGCCCTGCGGATTCCCTAAATAGGAACAGGATGAAGGCCAGGCTTAAGAGGTTACCATAGCTCTGCTCTCACACTTTGAGGAATCGGTCACTCCACTTCCCAGTATAACTTGTTTCAATTACTCTCGACAATCTATTTAGAGGAGAGCAGCTTGCAGAGAGAACTCATTGTCTAATCTAAATGAGGAAGCAATTATTACTTGCTGCAGTCTAACGTGCTTTGAGACCGTCAGGTCAAATATCAACCAGATCTTATATAACTTTACTTTGCACTTGGGAAGATATATATTCTTTTAAAGACAATTATGTATGCTTGCTTTTCTGACCCCCCCCCCCCTTTTTCCAATAAGTTTACAAAATTAAGGTTCCCCCCCTCTTCAACAGTCTTTTCTAATTTTAGGATTTGTTATTCTAAGGTAAACAACCACAGCCTCTTCTTTACGTTGCTTAATATTAAATTATACTTTAAAAATTTTGGTTTTTTAAATGGGTTCTATTTTGAGTTCAGTCGCTTAGTCGTGTCCAACCCTTTGCGACCCCTTCTCAGAATATAGCAAAATAAAGAGCTCCCCGAATCTTCCTTTCTTTGTCTAATTTCCCTCCCTGGGAGCGCCCTGCAAGCTTTAATTTTATACAACGTGTTGTAAACTAAAAATAATACAGTTCCACTTTCCTAGAACACAGGGAAACTGTTGCCTGCTATATATCCCACTGTACTTGCTTTCTACTGAAAAGACTGAAGTTCATCGCCTGTGTAAAAAGTCATTTGGCCCTTTTCTGTTTGATTAGTTAAAACCTAGTATGGAACAACACGAAAATTCTTGTTGTGAACAGAGCACATAAAAGGCTTTACAAGGTGTGGTTTGAAGAGAGAAAGTGGTGGAGCAAATGCCGGTGGGAAGGTGAGGAAGGAAAGCGCTTCCTCAGTGGATACTCCACCCGGCTGAGCGACATCCTCTCTTAGATCTCTTCCTGTTTGTCTCAGCCAATAATTGACAGTAAATGTGGTCTTTTCCCTATTCAATTCAAAAGCATCCTTTCTCTCCTTGCCGAAGTTACCCTAAGAGCCCAATCTACTACTAACTACATGTTACTAAAAAACTTAAATCCATTTTAATCTTCTGATAATCTGAAATTTTTATCTAATGCAGAAATGGTAAGAACCATTTCTACCTTAGCTGTTTAAGTATTCTGTGATAGCCAGGATAACCAAGTATAACGGAATTAACAACACAAGAATCTGAAGCTACAATTATTGTGCTTGGGTTTGATCACTGTTGAGTCTTGGTTTCCCTATCTGTAAAACAGACATACTTCCCAAAGTATGGAAACAAATGATATATACATCTTATTTATTACAATCTAACACACAGGGCATCACAAGCCTCATGAGGCATAATTTCTCTCTTTCAAATAAAGCGTGTGCTGCAACATTCCCTTTCTTTGTAAGATACACTAACAAAATGCAAGATTTGGGAGTTTTATATGTTGAATCGGACAAACAACTTTATATTTTAGGGTAAATAGAGATTCCTTTGGAACTTAATTTTAAGGATACTATGATGGTTAATTTTATGTGTCAATGGATACATCACTGCACTGGAACATTTGCTCAAGCATTGGTCTAGATGTTACTGTGAAGGTATTTTTTAGATGAGATTAACACTTAAATTAGTAGACCTCAAGTAGCGCATATTATCCTTCATAGTGTGGGTGGCCCTTATCCAGCTAGCTGAAGGCCTTCAGAGAGAATTCTACCTGCAGAATGCCTTTGACTGGAGCTGCAACATCAGTTCTTTCCTTGGTTTCTAGTCAGCCGTCCTGCCCTGCAGATTTTGAACTTGCTAGCCTCCACAATTACATGAGCCAATTCCTTAAAATCTCTCTTTCTATATATATTTTTTTTGGGGGGTTGGCCAAAAAATTAATTTGGGTTTTTCCATAAGATCTTACAGGAAAACAAACCCAAAGGAACTTTTTGGTCAGCCCAATACATATAGATATGCACACACATATTACTGTTACTGAAAGAGTTTGTGGGGTCTGGTTGCTTGCCTGAAAGCCAGGAAACAGGCCAGGAAAGTTCGCTTTATTTCAGATGCGGGCAACCGGTGGGTGGTGGACATCTGTCCAGAGGCCCACTTTTGCCCCCAACCCCTCCCTGACAAGCAGGGGATGAGAGCTTTTATAGAGGGGGTTGGTAGTGGGGTGGTGGTGGTGGGTGGATGGGGAGAGCTACATGCAGAAACAGCACAGTCTTCTCTAAGGTCATCTTCAGATTGGTCATCATTGGTCTGACCAGCATCACCTTGCTTGTTTTAGGTTCAGTTAATCTTCAGTTCCAGGGTCCGTTTGTTCCCATTTCTTTGTGGCCAGTTCTTAGAACTGTGGCAGCTCATGTCCTGGGTGCAGTCTGGTCATCATATAGTTAATTTCTCCCACCTGGGGTTTCAGTGGCTCTAAGGCAGCTCACAGGATATGGCTCAGAATATTATCTAGGGCCCTTGAGAAAGAACTAAAGGTCCTTGGCCATGCTCAGTGACTGCATTCTTACTGTTTAGTCCCCTTTGACTGTTTTCCTTTGTTTCCACATTTCTCACTTCTCTGATTAAACTTACTCTTTGACTAAAGTTTTCCACAGACACAAGGCAGGCAGAGGATGTGGTGAGGGTGCAAGGACCATAGGCTCCTGCACTGGTTCACTACTGGTTTCATTCCTCTGGAGAACTCTGATCAGTAGATACAAACTGTTGACTCCTGGCACCACCATGATCTGTTACAGGACTCAAATTTCAAGTAACAAGTTAAGTCAAACATTCTGAGGAAGAAAAAAATCTCCGTATTTATTCCAAACTCTTCCACAATACATTGAGATAGCACTGTCAAATGCATTATAAATCAGATACTCTAACCTGACTTCATCGACTCTTCTCATTCACCTTTTCTAAATTTCAGCATTAAACAATGTTTAGAAGAGAAAAACTTCTCTTCCAAGGCTGATGTGCAAAACTATCTGCTCCTGCTCTTTACCTTCCTTCTCTCTTCACAAACTTCTCTGTAATTCTCAATGATATAGTTGAAAAGATAAGAGACAGTGACGGTTCTATGGAACTCAAGGTTAAAAGTCACCTTGAAAAATTTGCAAGGCTATAAAAAATGTAGTCAAGTTTCAAGAAATGCTGCCTTAAATAAAAGTTATGCTCTGAGTACTCCAGGTGAGAGATGATGATGACTTAAACTAGGGGAAATGAAGGGGAGGTGAATGGTCACATTCAATATATATTTTGGAGTCAGAATAACTAATGTATCAGATGTAAGAGGTAAGAGAAAGAAGAGAACCAAGAATTTAAAAAACAAAAACCAAACACCAAAACCTGCTTTGAGAGAAACCAAAGTACTCAATAACCTAAGATAAATTAAAGCATAAATAATACTCAATCCAAACATTTGGTAACAGTGAATTTGTTATTTTTAAAGCAAGAACCATTGTACTTAAATTAACTGTTATGCTATCCTACTTGGATATAGGCATTGTGCAGAAACATAACAGAGCTACCATTCACAACAGACCCTCAAGGAATATTTATGAATGAAAAAATTATGCTAATTTGATTTACACATAGTGCCAAAATACCATATACCTATATTTTTATTCTTCCCCCTTGTCCTTAACTGGGATTGCCAGGTAAAGTAAGAGTAAATAGGATACTTTTCCTGCTTTTTTGAACACAGTATCTATCCTACACTTATGGACAGTTATCAATCTTGTGCTTTAAAATTTCAATTCAAAGCATCATCTTATAAAAAGCAATTTTAAAAATGCTACCAAAAAGAGACCATAAGGAGAGTGTTTCAAGGATAAAATATTGATGGGTAGGTAAAAGGGCAGACTGTTTTTCAGAGAACAATGAATCAGTCTGACATGATTTTTGTTCCATGAATCTCTTTCTCAAGAACAGTGAACTACTAAAAAAGGAGAATAAAACACTGACAAAAATGCTGCAATTTATATAGTCATTGTGTTCTTTGAATTTTTATTTAAATTTCTGACTTCTTTGGATCATCAAAAGGGGATATATTCTAATAAAAATGAAAATATAACTCCATTTGGCAATACTTTAACACATCATATATCATAATGAAGTAACACAAAGAAACTTTTTTAAACACAGGCTTTCTCTCTAAAGCTTAAATGTGAGGCAGACAGACATCTGATTTTAAAACAGATGGAACCCTAGAACATTTCCAGGATACATAAAATTGAATTTTGTGTTATATTTTGTGTCTGAGACAGCTAACAATATAAATCGATGACTAGGGTTTCTGTACTAGTTGTTTTTTCCCATATTCTTTTTCTAACATCCAAATTTTAGTTATTTCTTTTGTAATTCTATGGATGAACATTCCAGAATGTATGATTTTTTTCAGTTAGACACACATATATAGTTTTAGATTATTTTCTACTGTAAGTTATTACAAGATATTGAATATAGCTCCCTGTACCATACAGTAACTTCTTTTGCTTATCTATTTTATGCATAGTAGTCTGTATTTGTTAATCCTATATTCCTAATTTATGTCCCCCCTTTCCCCTTTGGGAACCATAAATTTGTTTTCTATGTTTGTGAGTCTGTTTCTGTTTTGAATATAGACTCATCTGTATTATTTTTTGCATTCCTCCTATAAGCGATATCATACAATATTCAGCTTTCCCTGACCTAGTATGATATTCTCTAGATCCATCCATATTGTTGCACATGGCAATATTTCAAAGAATGTATATGATTTGTATAATTTGCTCTATGACTTGTAATCTTAAGTGTGTTTATATATTGTTTATTATTTAAGTCAAGACACACAGTAATAAATAATATCATTTCATGGAAACTAACATAAACACTCTGACATAGAAAAAAAAAAAATACAAGTTATCACTAGTAAAATGAGTTTATTTTATATTAAAGTTTTCAAAAAACACATTTGTAAAATTATCCTCATACTGGGCCTAAAGATAGCTTTTACAAAGAGATTAAAACTTGCAAAACTGCTTTCTCTTAACTACTAAAGTACATAGACTTAAAAGGTGTTATAAGAGAAAATGTTAATTCGTGGTCAATGTTTAAAGGGTTAATATACATTAAATCTGTAGGAAACTACCAAAAGATTAAATCTTAAAAACATTAAGAGAGTAAAAGTTGTACTTTCCTTTCAGAAAGCTTTATTCTTAAGTGATGTTTACTAAGAAACACACACTGCATACCACAATAATCTTTTCAAAATTTACCCAGTTGCTTTTAAATGAATCAACTTACACAGAAGAAAACATAGGAAATTGCTCTTCAGTACATATTAACTTATTTTTCCTGATAAAAAAAATCAAAATAAAAATTTAGCCTATTCCAATTAAAAATACAAATTACTAATATTTAAGATAGTGTTGTATTATTTTTAATAACACAAAAGTTCAAGCATTCCAGAGTACAAACTGTGTTATTCAAAAAAAAAAAAAAACTCTTATCTAACCAATGTTTACAGAAATTTGGAACATTTACACACCTTATAACACTGTAGAAATCTTTGGTGGTGACATATGGATTAAGTTCCCTGAAAACATTTTAATAATTTTATTCCATCAATCTGTATAGTCAAGTATTTAAAACTGGTAATGCTGGCAACATTATTTTCTATCCAAATTCACATACATATAGTGAAGTGTGTGGAGGGAATCTTATGCAGGGATTATGTGGGTTTAAATAATTACTTAGCAATAAGGCTTATTTCTGGCTCATTTTTACACCAGAAAAAAAATACAGTAAGCTAAAGAACAGATCAATTCTTCCTTCTAAACAAACCCTGGAAATAGTTAATATTCAGGAACAAGTTGAATGACAATAAACTGAGACACCAGGTACAGTTTCTGGATAAACTTTAATAGCTACCAAAATAGTGTTCTAAAGGCTTGTGCAGCATCTAATGCCCATTCACCAAATGGTGGTGGTGGGATGCAAGGCACTGTGGTCTAGGGATAAACACACCTCTTTTTGTAAGAATTAGACTTAAAAGCAGAGAAACAAAAAAATGACCTGTTCCACCTTAAAAGAAACAAAGACGTACAAGTTTATTATACAAAATTCAAATGAAAGCATGCTAAAACACACAGAAAAGAAGCAAAATGTAAGAAATGAAAGGATAGAATAGAAATGATAGAACAGCGAAGTGACATTGACTGTACAGAAGGTTATAACAAATATATCAGAGGAAGCCTTGAGACACGATTAAATAGAAGGATTTGCATTATCTCTTTGAAACTAGTATTGCTCTTGGTTAAACATTTTGACTCTAGCAGTGTAGAAGGATAAATAATTCCTCCAATTTAGGACAGTATTTGTGAGTTTACGATAATTAAAGCATAGCCATTTTTAATACAGAAATTAGACTTAAATAAAATAAAGTGGTGCAAATCAGCCCCTAAAAGTAATGTTTTTGATACAAAGTCACTTACATGACCTTGTTAGGCAATTTGAGATGACTCTGCCCTTGTGTAGGAAAGGTAAGCATGGCACATGTAGCATTTATATTGGGAAGTCAAGTGTTCCTAGGCAATCTACGTTAAACTCTCTTCCAGGGTTTATAACCAGAATTCATAGGAATTTTGAATTAGTTAAGATAAAATAGATGAAGATACTCATAGAATTAAACTTTGGGGGAAAATAAATTCAATGAAGTTTTTACATGGTATTACTTATTGAGAATGTGAGATAATCTGGAAGACAGATAATCTGGAAGACATTTTAAGACTTGCATGAAGAGAAATGTATGAATTATAGTAAGGTACTCCTGAGTAAACATTCTGTTCTTTACCAACACTCAGAGTGGGTCCTGAATATACACTCCCAGCTGGCTTCATTTCTTGAAAGGCAGAAAGGTCAAAGATCTCACAAATCTCTCTCATTGTTTTTTTTTCTTTTGGGTAAACAGAATAATCAAGTAAATTATATGAAAGAGTATAATCATACAGATTTGTATAATGATACAATTTTGATTACTGGTTACTAAAACCATCATCAGAAATATACTGACTTGGGGTTCATAATGCATAGTTATCTATGCCACTTAAAAAGCTTCAAAGTTTGGTAACTCAAAATCTCTTGGATTAAAAACACGATATTTTCTAAAATCCATTCTAATAACTTCTAATACGTAAGATTAACAACATTTGTATTTTGCATTGGCATGGATCTTCAGGAAATTATCTCAGCCAGAAGTGAAATGATTCAAGTGTGTAGAGTCAATGCCAGATTTATAAATCAGCAGCCCGTGTCAGTGCCAAGCTTGTGAATAGATTGGTTGTTGGTTAATTTCATGAATTAGAAGATATCTACCTGCTATACTGGTCTCTGATTCCATTTCACAAAAGCTACCATTTTTAAAAGCTGAAAATGAAACCAGTGTTAACAAAAACATGCTAAATTCAGCTACAATGTAGAACTAAATATGGGAAGCTGGTAAATTTTAAAGAACTTATCTGTATGAAAGATATGCAGAAATAGTTGAAAATGAACTATGAGCTCTATTTTTTATTATTAAAATTAAATGAATATAACTAATGAAACTCACAGGAAAAGAGATGATATAATTCAAGGCATAAATTTGACAAGTCAGAATATGACAAATAACAGTAAAGACAGTGTTAATAAAACTTAAATGTATAGTTGTAAAATACGTAAACAATTTTCAAGTGTGCAAAACTAGTCAGGAATGAAAGTGCTATGTAGATACCTGGTTTTCAAATAGTTGTCTTGAAAACTTTCAGTGGATGGTGGGAAAACTAGAAAGTATTAACAAAGTAAAAATTTGAAAAGTATATAAAACATATTTTATATTATACCCTTGTTCTATCACTGCTGGATCAGAAGCCTATTTAATTACTATCCTCATATGATAGTTACAACAGAAATGGAGGTAAACACAATACAAAATCACAAAGGCTGATGTCGCTTGAACCATCTTTCAAGTATACTGTGAATCTGTGTTTCACCTTATATCTCAGGCACTTAATGTTTTGAAGAATTGGACAACAGATAACACAATTTTCTTTTATTTCTGATCTATCTATCTATTTTTGCATAACTACCTTTAGTAGTCAAGATTTGGAAGTAGTTGTTAAAGAAATAAAAACTATTTAAATTGAAAGTAAACCCTATCACCACCACAATTTAAAGAATGGTTTTAATGGATACATCCTGAATATATGATGTTAGAAAAACAAGTTGATGTATTAGCATAATTTGTCTTGGGATACTTGATGTGTACATGGCTAAAAATACACTTGTGGTCTCTTCTTTACTTTGTATTTTAGTGACCCATACCGCACCTGAAGAGAGAAATGTGTTATCATTATGAATCAGATTTTGAAATTAGATAGGACTTCATAATCATCATCACAGTAATAACTTTTAAACTTTCCTGACATAGAGAATCAATTGTCTTCTAAGTGTGCACTCAAAAGACAGCACTATCTATATATTCCAAAATGTAGTCGGTATTGTGTTACATATATGCACAGATTATTATCACTAGTGATAAATAAAAACATAAACTGTTATTATTTACACTTTGTTTGGTACATGTCCATGAACACTGCCCACAAAGACCTAAGGCCTTCACTGAAATCCTCCACTGCTTTCTGGGCACAAAGACAATATATTATTATGAATAAACTTTTACTATTTAAACCCGATATAGAGTCGGTTTAAAACAAAACTATGTACTTGATACTGTTAGCTGCTTTCTATATATATGTGAGGGCTGGTACTGGGTACTCCCATCAATTATCTGATTTTGCTACGTGAGAATACTGTTTTCCACTTATAGTGAAAGACTAGGAATTTATTATCATTTTCTAAATTGCCAGAGATCTTAATCCATCTGACTGGAATAAATAATTTTAAATATAACCCGTACTGTATCATTTCAATCCTTCATTTAGGGATCATTAATATCCTAAATGAGCATGCAGCAGGGAAATCTCTTAATACTAATCATTAGGAAAACAGCTCTCTACACTTGACTCACCTCTTTTCGGCCTTTCACGGTTTTCACAGATTTCATGCTTTGCGATCTTCGGAGCCCTTTGTGTGTTAACATCTCGTCATCTGAATATGGCCCCTCTGCTTCTTCATCTGTTTTCTCATCTCCGTCTCTCAGTGGAATTCCGTAACCTAGATGAGTTGTGAAAATCAGCATGTTTTAGTAAAAGGATACCAGTCAGCACCGCCTCTTCACCCCGTCTGTCCACAGTTCTCTGCACAGTCTGCGATTGTCTGCTTACTCCTTTCCCTTTTTTCATTTGGAATGGGTTCCCAGCCCTTCGCTGTTGATCTTCACCCCGTGCACTAGTCTAGATGAGGCTCATTTCTTCCAGGAAGTTTCCCCTGGCAATTCCTATTCTTACTATGCATTTTTCAGAATAATTAGAAATATTTTTGAGTAGGTTGACAGTTATCTTGCTCAAAAATCAAAGAATATGAATAGATACATAGTGAAAAGTCTCTTCCTGCCCTTTCTCCTTTTTGCGAATTCTAAACTACCTAAGCAATAATGTGTTTTGGTCTGTCATTTGTACCTTTGACTTTAATTAGGAACTTAGGGTCCTTTTGTCAAGACCAGATTTGGTAGCGTGCACTTAAGGAGTCATATAAGACCCAAAGGGAATAGAACTTCCGGCAAGATAAACTCACTGGGGGCAGGTGATACAGAAGTTAAACCAACAGTGTTGCAGCTGCTAAGATAAAATCCAGCCAGACAGGCTACAGTAATTAGAAACACCACAGGCTACGATGACTGATGTTAGTTCAAAGAAAACAGCCAGCACTAGGAAGGTCAGTAAGAGATCATGTGGGTGTGCTAACAGGATGCTATGTGTAGCAGCGAGGACTTAACATTGACCAGCAGGCAAATAACCAGGCAGCCAGGCTGGTTATTGTCAGGAACTCTGAGAGCACCCTGAGAAGGGGATTCAGGGAGAATACTCCCTCCCATTCCTGAAGCAGTGGTTCTCAAAGCTTATTAGAATTTCAATAAACTTGTGCTAACGCACACACTTACTAGAATATATTAGAGTCACCTGGAGAACCCACTGATACACACATTGCTGGGCCTGGGGTTGGGCTGAGAAATTACGTTTCTACCCAGTTCCCGGGTGGTGCTTCGGTACTAGTTTGGGGTCTACACTTTGAGAACCACTGCTTGGATGGAGCAAGAGAGGGGCCTAAATCTAAGGCAACTGGGGAATAGTAAGTAGATTATAAAGAGTGGAGTGAGGAAATTCCTTAGTGGTCCAATGGTTAGGATTCTGGGCTTTCACTGCCAAGGGCCCAGGTTCCATCCCTGGTCAGAGAACTCAGATCCCATAAGCCACAGGATGAGGTCAAAAGAAAAGAAAAAAAAGGACAGGGGTGAGTTTACAAGGCCCCATTATGTTTCAAATTCTACTTTAATAAAGGTAAGGAGCATAGCTACCTTCTTTGGATGGTATCAGGCTCAGGAGGGGGCAAAGATGGACTTCTTGCATGTGAAGAAAAGTACACTGAATAAATTGTTTATTCATCTGCTCTCACAGGACATGAATAACTTGAGCATTACTAAGTAAACCATGAAGAGTTGTGATTAAGCTTCCGGGTGTCATAATAAGATAAACATCTTTAATATTAATATTTAATATTAATATTAAGAGCAGCCCACCAGGCTGGACAGAGCCCAGCTCTGTCCCTAGGATTCTCCAGGCAAGAATACTGGAGTGGGCTGCCATTTCCTTCTCCATAATTATATATTAAGGAAGTCCAATTTTATGCTGCCAGACTTCTGGTCTAGAAATCAGGAAGGATTTGGAAGCAGAATCAGTCATTATATAGGCCAAGATCCTTTGCTTTCCCGCAGCAGTTGGAGGAAGTGTGTGCTAGGCAGAAGTGACAGCACATGCAAAGGCCCTGGGTCATGGGGAAGCATAACTTTGTGGAAGAGCTGTGAGGAGGCCAGTGTGGCTAGGAGAGGAAGTAGGGTCAGTAGTCCTGGGAAAACCCCCCTGGTACAGTATTAAGTGTGAAAAATGTAAACATAGAAACAAAGGAAGGAAAAACAAAAATGAAACCATAATATCTGTTGAAAGTGGGCTTTTAAGTGATTTTAAATTTCTTCACTTTTTCTTTCTTAAAAAAATTGCCAAATTTTTATTTAAAAAATTTTATTACTTCTGTATAAACCAGAAAAAAATTATTTTAGATTGCCACATCTAGATTTTTCTATTGCTGTTGCTTATATAATATTCCCAATCCCAATATAATAAAACTAAGGTAAAACACAGAATAAGGAATCAAGGAAAGAATTAGAAAGGAAACTGTGATCAAAAAGTTCTCTAAGGTAAAAGATGAGGCAAACATGGCCCTTGTGATTTTAATTACCTCTCATTTTATAGGATTAGGAATTGGAATTTCACTCAAAATGATAGTTATATTATATATATATACGTATATATACATCTTATTGTTTCCTAATTTCAACTAATTTAGGAAAAGTGATAGATTGATTCATTATTACACAAGTTTTTAAAATAATTTTTAAATTTAAATTTGTTTATTTATTTTTGGCTGTGCTGGGTCTTCATTGCTTTCTCTGACTTCAGCAGAGCAGGGGCTAATCTCTAGTTGTGGTGCATGGGCTTCTCATTGCAGTGGCTTTTCTTCTTGTGGCACACAGGCTTAGCTGACCCACGGCTTGTGGAATCTTCCCACAGCGAGGATCAAACCCGTGTCCCCTGCAGCGGAAGGCAGATTCTTAGCTAATGGACCACCAGGGAAGTCCTCACAAGTATTTTTAAAATACTACTATGTGTGAGGCAGTACACTAATTTATGGGGGATACAATGTTAAAAAGACATAACTGTCCTTTTCTACCCTGAGAAATACACAGTCCAGTAGAGGAGACAGTCATCTGTAATGAATGCTATAAATAGAAGGTAAGGGAAGTGGGTTGTGAGAGGAGACTTCTTGTAGGAGGTGGTGGCCAGGCTGAATCTGAAAGGCTCGTGATTCTATGCACCCAGCACCGGAAGCAGTGGGGTGCCAAGGCTCGGGAGCTAATACACCACATGCTGCTGAGTTTGGACTTCATCAGAGAACAAAGGGGAGAGGGCATTGAAGCATTTTAAGCAGGAGAGTGACATGATTAGGTTTTGGTTCTTTGTAAGAGTCTTCTTGTACTTTAGAGAGTGAATCATAAGTGGTAAGACTGGAAGCAGGGCGGTTACTGCAGTACAAGTCGGCAGTGATGGGGTCCAAGGATGGAGCAGAAGGTAGCCAAGCTTGGGATTTGTTAGGAGGTGAAGTTGACCAGCTTAATTTAGCAAGTTATTAAGATTAAACTGCATCAAAAAGAAAGGAGTCAAATCAAATATCTTCACTAAAACATGCATTTTCTATTCCGCTTAAAAGCCTGAAAATAAGCATTATGAAAATTCTGATGTGCATGGTGGAAATAGTATTAATCAGAGTTGTCCAGGAATTTTAAAGTCTTTGGTAGAGGAGAAGACCCGAGATTATGAGAAAAGCCCAAATCTAGATGCCCTATCTGAGCAGGAACCCAGCAAGCTGGCTGAGCAGGTCTGCAAAGTCCAGGCAAGGTGAAGCTGGTGGGGTGCTGCTGGCCAACAAAGGTGATGCTACGGTCAGCTGTTTTCCATCATCAATCTAGACTGGACAAGGTCCTCAGAATGCTGCTGTCCACGCACATTCCTCAGGGGCAGTGACTGGGAACCCAAGAATGAGAAGTCTGTGTTGCCAGGGGCCCTGAGGCCTGAGGCTGCAGCTGTTTGGCCAGCTTCAACCCAGTGCCCTGTTACCACTGTAAGAAACGAGCAAACGCTTATGCGGACTGACCAGGTTTTATTCATAGCGTGCACATCTTAGAATTGGTATATTTTAAGTCTCTCCTCCCTCCCACCCCTTTATAATAATAATAGCCAATACTGATCCAGCACTTAGCAAAGACCAGGCATGTTTGAAGCAGTTTCACGTATTAATGTAAGTGCAGAATCATGGAAGGTCTGACTTGGGAGGAGGAAGCCTTAGCTATCATGCTGGAAGAAGCCCTGGATCCACGAGAGGAGAAACGAGTGAGCATCTTGCTACAATTACTGTAAGAACTTGAGTGAGTCTTGCCTCTCTGGGCCTCAGTTTTCTTATCTGGTAAGGTGCTGAGGCAGGTGGGAGATGAGTAGGTCACTATTAATACACGAATGCCACCCCTGAGCCAGAAGAGCTGTCTGGGGTGCTATGCTGAGTGCGATTCTGGGCCAGATGGGAAGTGCTGCAATCCATTAGCAACATCTGCCATGGGCACGAAGGGATGTCATTTACTGGCCTTCTTTGACTAAAAGCATTTCTAAGGTCCCCTCCTGCTGAATTCTTTGCAGTCCTTGTTCCAGCCCAAGTGTCTCACTAAGTGTATGTAGTCTCTTCATAAAGTAAAAAGAGAGAGGATTAGATGAAGAACCTTGGATACTTCATTTCTGTCACTTAGTATGTGGCCTTTATAAGTAATTTAATCTCCTTAGGTCTCAGTTTATTCATCTACAAAATAAGGATAAAAATATTTAACCTGCATGGTCATCTTCAGGGTTAAATAAATATATAAAGCATTGAAAACAAGACAAAACAACTCCCTTTATCTGCTGGTATATTGAAAATGATACTGAAGCACTTTTAACTAATATGAGAGCAGCAGCTTCTTTGCAGAAAAAAATATTTCCACTTATGAGAATGTGGTGTTCTTTCTAAGGAAGTGAACATCATGTTCAAGGTGTCTATTTTCTTACAAAAAAGCATTTGGAGGTAGCTCTTTTTCCCATAGTGACAACATGTGAACTAGAATAACTTCATCAAAGCAAGACTTCTCTTGATCAGCCAACTTCAAACTGCTCAGAGCAAGCCATTTAGCTTTTAAGAGGGAACTACTTTCTCAAACAGTTGAATTTGCTTGTGTTCTGAGATAAATGTATTGATTACATGAACTAGTAAACAGACTTTGCAATGTAAATATAATTCCCACACTGAAAAACTTACCAACTTGCTTTCTTTCTTAAGAAATTTTAGAAGTAAATAAAATAGAAAAAAATTTAAGATATAAGAAAATGAATATCTTAATAAAAGAAGAAGAGTTGTTTTATTTCTGATTTTAAGAGTAATGGGTTAATTTAAAAAAAATCAATAGAAGCCCACAACTCAGAGCTAAATGCTGTTAACATTTTCATAATACCTTTACAGACTGTCTTCTACATACATAAATCTTAAAAATACATTTACATATATTAATCCATTTCATCCATCTGTCTATTGTGCCTCTATGGTACAGGATCATAACAAACACACTGTTTCATTACTATTGTTTTTCCCTCTCAATCTGGATATGTTTTCATGTCAGTAACTATCAATATAAACTGACATTATTATTTTTCACTGCTAATAGCTGCCCTTTTGCTTAACTATTCTCTTAGGAGTTTTGTTTGTTCCAATATTTTGTTACTATAAACATCAATAAAATGAACACACTTGCATGATTATTTCTTTATGACTATTCCTAGAAGTTTCTTGCTGAGTTAGAGAATACATTTTGATAATTGTTACTAGACTGTCATCCAAAAGATTGTTATACATTAAACATTCATAAAAAGTGTATGAGACTGTTTGTTTCCCAACTTTCTTGTTATTTTAATTCACGGTTTAAAATTCAACAGAAGAATAATGAGCACCTTGTTATCTTAATGAGCACCTTGTTATCTTAAAATATTTTAGTCACAGCATTTTATTTTTTTATTTTTATTTTTAGCATTTTAAATTTAATAGACGGATCCCGTAAAAATGGTGTCATGGATTTTCAAATTTATAATCCTGTTTTCATTTAAATAATTGGAATATCGTTCTTAACCAATTTTAAGGTATAATTATGAATCAACTACTGATAAAGGATTCAGATTACTGGTCCAAATCAGCAAAATATATATAGCAGATCCCATATTCAATGTCAGTACACCTAACTTTTTAAATGCCTGTTAAGAAAATGCCTTATATTAGGAGCTACTTTTACATTATTAAAGTATTAAGGATGATGATTCAAGGTTCAAAGTTTACTCATTCTTAAAGGCATTAGTACCTTACTCAATGGCCAGTACTTAATTATTACTTTTTAGATAATAGCCACCAATTTTTTAAAGTTATTCTAGGGAGAACTTAGAAGAAATTTCATTATTTTTTCTTTATAAGAAGCAACTATTCTTTTCAAGTTGGTTTTAATTATAAAGAATGATTTTCAGTGTACTTCAAAAGAAAACTTCTACTTGGGGAAAAAAAAAAAAAAGATCCAGCAGCCCTGTACTTTATGGACTTAATAAGACACTAACAAGAAATGTCCTGAAGATCTTAGTTCTCAGTTGAGCCTTGAACTATAATTTTCTTACATGTGAAAAAAAAAAAAAGACTACAAGAACCATGTCTTTTTGTTTGCATGCATGTTTCTAAGATCACAATTTATTAAAGTTTTAGCACATATCAACCATGACATGCTTACAATTTATATTAAAACAAGTGGGTTTTTGGTCTACAATTCATAATTTCAAGACATTTTTCCATTGGAGTAATCTTATTATCAAACTGCTCTTTTGTCACTGCTTAAAACTTTTCATCTTATGGTTCAATATCCTTATTTGTTCACAGCACTTACAGTAAAGGGGGTTTAAACTCTTTAGATGTTGCTACACAATTTGAGTAACAAGAGCGGAGAGCACAGGTCAGGACTGGTGTGGGTGGTGACAGACGACCACATCCACTGCGTCTAGAAATTCATGGCAGCACATGGGGCTATTGCTACTTTCTTAGTGGGATTCTCTCCAGAGTCAACAAAAGGCAAGCACTAGCCTTATTTAGAGAACAAAAACAAAAGCTTAATGATAAATTTTAGTTGGGTTCAGTCGCTCGGTCGTGTGTGACTCTTTGCGACTCCATGGACTGCAGCACACCAGGCTTCCCTGTCCATCACCAACTCCTGGAGCTTAATCAAACTCATGTCCATTGAGTCGGTGATGCCAAACTAAAGATAAATTTAGTTTACCCAAATTCAGACAGCTGGTACCCATCTTGACTCAAGATCCCAATTATGACAGAACAATACGTGAAAACGAAACAAGCACACCTGCTGCTTCACCGGAGCCTGATTTACTTTTCTTTTTTGTTTCTGGGAGAGGTTGGTACGGTCTTTGTCCCACAGGCTCATCACCTTGAATAGCTGTTAGGTCATGCATACTGAAACTTCGCAAACGTTCAGTTATTGCTCCTTGGCTCTGTTTAATAGAGAAGCGATAGATCCAAGAAAAAAGGTGTGTTTTAAAATACTTAATATGTTTGCATTTAACTTTCCCCCAACATTTTATCATGAAGCTGATTCATTTCATAATGAAACTTTCAGAGACGTTGAAAGACTTCTACAGTGGATACTCATATATCATTTATATTTTGCTGTATCTGGTTTATCACTAATTTACCATCTATCCAACCACCAATCAATTTTTAATGCATTTCAAAGCAAGTTGTAGACATCAGTACATTTCACTCCCAAACATTTGTTTTAAATTTAACTTGAAAAGGTAAAAAAAAAAAAAAAGTATCATGAACTTATCCTGACTATAAACATCATCCATAATATTGCTCTCTCCTAGAATTAGCACTTTGAGGCTTATATTTATGATTCACAAGAACTTTTTTAAAGTAAAAGAGATGCTATTTCAAAGCTAAGTCAAGTTAGGAATGGTAATGGCTCTACCTAGAACACCACACAAAAAAATTTAAGAGCCAAAGAATCTTGAGTATGAAATGATATTCAGTTAATGAATTCATCATCTGGCAAAGCATATCTACTACCACACAATTTGACTTAAAGCCTTAACAATATGGTAGACACTAGGCACAAGTGGGTATTTAAAGCTAACTAAAATTGAGAGAAAGAAGAAATTCAGCTCCTTAATTGCACGAGTTACATTTCAAATGCTCAATAGCCACATGTGGCTAGTGACTGCAGGTAGAGAGTATCTCCATCACTGCAGAATGGTCAATGCTTTTCTTCATTGCACAGCTTTGAAAGGAACATTTCTGAACTTTTCAGACATAACTACATTTCCTCTCAAAGTATAAAGCTTTGTAAAGAGAAAAAAATAATTTCTAAATTTACCCACTTTGAAAATTTGCATAGCATACAGATGACTCATTTCTTATTTATAGATGGATTAAAAATATTCTTCTAAAGGTTTTTTTACACTTATTATTTCTTCTTCCCACACATGTGAATTTATGATTGCCTCTACTTATAATGGTACTGTAGAAACTCATCCATAATGGTTCATCTTTAAATTTCAAAGCCTAAAGCATTACAAACATCTCAATGTTACTGCTAATATGTATTTTACATTGAAGAAAAATGTCTTGATTCATGAGTCTTGGATTAGCTACTCTTAGTGATATTCTATTATGTCAAACCTGAACACCATTTCCATAGCCCACTTAAGCTTTGTAATTTCTACCACAGTCTTTGAATTATGAAAAAGCATAATTAAAGGGTCTAGTGAAAAGTGAAAGTGTTAGTCACTCAGTCGTGTCCGACTCTTTGTGACCATAGACTGTAGCCTGCCAGGCTCCTCTGTCCATGGAATTCATCAGGCAAGAATACTGGAGTGGGTTGCCATTTCTTTCTCCAGGGGATCTTCCCAACCCAGGGATCGAACCCAGGTCTCCTGATTGCAGATGGATTCTTTAGTGTCTGAGCCACCAAACGGATCTATATTCTCAATAAAATTAGTTGGATTCCACATATCCTTAAACATTCGTGACAAGGTTTAATTTATTATACTCTCTTTTTATCAGACATCATTTATTTATTAAATAGAGGATGACAAAAGACTTCAGACACACACTAAAAGGAAGTGAACAGTGCTTGTCTGAAACAGATGCTTCATTTTTGCAGAACTGTCATTTTCTGTGTTCCGATCTTTGTGGTTCTGTGTCCTCTCAGCAATTCTTGACTTTTTTTTGCCATCGCCAAACAGATGGTAATATACATCCATAATATCCTATATTCTTAACCCCCAAACCCTCCAACTCAAGAAAGAAAGTACATCTCAGCATGCATATAAGTCAAAGTGCTGTTGAATCAATCTAGCTTTAATCATCCACAGACTTCAGTATCTTTAATGATTATCATCAACTAATTACTTAGGGTATATCTCACAAATGAACTCATACATTAATGTTAGTTCTGTGACTGTGCTTTATATATTTTGCCTTCAGGGCAAGATTTTAAGAAACTAGAAGAGAGGGACAAATCTTAGGCTTCCTCTGTTCTCTGAGTGTACCTGGTACAGGACTGATACTGAATATGTAATAAGTAAACTATTCTTTTTAAGCCTTTTTTTTTTCATTACTCATGACTGCTACAGAGTTCTCTATAGATAGTAGCATGTTTGAATGTAAACATGTTGAGTTTATATGGATAGGTTCAGCACCAAACCACAAGTATGGTCATGGGTATCTACAGGGGTAGATTACACCATTCACTAGAAGGTTGCTTCAGGTTTCCATGAAAGGTGAGCAAGGACCAACACCGAGATGTGTGTGATCTACATACAGTCAGGATTTTAATGCAGCTCTTAAGTAATCAACCCTCTAGCCCTGGTATTATCAATCTCAAAAAAAAAAGGCCAGGTACCATATAGGGAAAAGCAAAAAGAGGCTGTGTACCCTCATTGAGGACTTACAGCACTTTAGCAGCCATTATCACTTTGAAAAATCATTTCTTTTCACTGTATGTTTTCTAATGAGCCCAGAATAGAAATAACATGGCGGGGGGCCGGGGGGGGGGGATATTACACAACTGCAAACTTCAAAAATACTACATAAATTATAAGTATCCAATGTGACCACTTTAAAGGAGAGGTGTCATTATAAAATAACTGCATTTAAAGGCAGAGCTATTCCCTCTAGTTTTTATATATTCTGCACAAAAAGTCCATTAATAAGGGAATTATGTTTGCAATAAAATGTTAGGAGGAAATGCCTCCCCTCCACCTCCGAATTCTAAATCATGCAAAATATAGGTGCAAGTGTGCAGTATGGTTACAGTTAGACAGGAATAAATATTTAAAAAGTTAAAACAGTATAATGTGTAGGGAGATGAGTGATTTCCATTTTTTTCAAAAATTTCTTTATATTACAAAACCAGTCATAGATGGAATAGTGAAGTTTTTTCCTTAATTGGAGGATGATTGCTTTACAGAGTGTTGATTTCTGCTGTACAATAATGTGAGTCAGCTATAAGTATGCATATATCTCTTTTATCTTGAACCTCCCTCCCACCACCCCCCATCCCAGAAGTCATCATAGAGGGTATAATGAAGTTTTAATTGTTAACATAATACACTATAAGAATTTCTGACCTATTTCTTCATCATCTTTCCAGTATCTAAATCCCTTACTCTCATCATTAAAAGAAAAACTGTTTCTACATTTTGAGGGCACAAGCAGGAAATTATAGCCACTTATCAAAACAATACTAAAGGGTATTTATATTTTTTAAAAATTAATAATGCTTGATTTATTTTCTTGCATTTGGTTTATACACTATTAAGCTAAAAAGTATAAGAAAAATGAAGACGGGTTCTAGTCTGAGGAGGAAAATATGTGTGGAAACAGCAGTCTTAGTAAGTCAGAAGGGAGTTACTATCCACAAGGTAATTCTATATCCCGGCATTTAGATCCTATTCTCTACAGAATTGTATATACACTGTGTCTGTTAAATTTAGTCCTAAAAATCAAAGAGAAAAGTAACAAGAAAGGTTATAATGAGAAAACAAAAGTCAAAGTAATTAAAAAGTATTCTGTAGAACATTTTACATCATTAGACCAAGTGTTCCTGTCTTCAGGGAGCTCAGAGGTCTCAGAGTTTGAATTTAGATGAGCCCAAAACATCTATTTAAGAAACTAAGAATGAGGTAAGGCTGGCTGGGTGGGAGGGCTGGGTCCAAGCTCTGGAAAGAATGCTTTAGCAGACAAGCAGCTTCCCAAGCTGGCCCCACACAGAAGCTCACTGATAGCTGAAAATTTGCATGTCTACTCAAGTATCCAAGTCTATGTATGGCATCTGTAAAAACGGACCGTGATGTAGGACTAATCCTAACCTCTTTATACCCAACCATTCTGCTTTGTTTAAGTATTTTGTTTCCTGGTTAAATATTGTATTAAAATTACTGTGTTGTTGTTTAGTCATTCAGTTGTGTCCATGGACTTTTGCAACCCTATGGACTATAGCCTGCTAGGCCCCTCTGTCCACGGGATTTCCCAAGCAAGAATACTAGAGTAGGTTGTCATTTCCTACTCCAGGGGGTCTTCCTGACGTAGGGATTGAACCTGCATCTCCAGTACTGCAGGTGGATTCTTTACCGCTGAGCCACCAGGGAAGCCCCATATTTTGTGTTAAATAAGAGGAATTTACTGTGCTTATCATCACCTCTGTATAAAATCTTCAACTTATCCTCACAGAATTTTTAAATTAAGAATTAAAAAATATAATCAGCAATGCTTTGTAATCTTATAAGCATACAAACAATTCTTTATGGAATAATTTTTAGGACACTGATCAGTAATGAGTAGTCTATTTCTTGTTGATCCTTGACATACTACATTATAACTGAGAGTAAGGAGAGTCTGCAGTTTTTAGGGGAATGCCTTGTCCTTATAGATATTTAACACAATCTGATCAAGCCGAGAATGGAACTGACTGCATTTGCATTAAGTGAGTACTATATTTTCGTGGTTTTAAGATGAAAGCAATATATATTTATTGAAGAATGTTTGTAACAGAGAAAAATGTAAAAGAGAAAGATGATCTATAACCCATCATCCAAATTACCTGTACATATTTACATATCCTTTAAGCCTTTTCTGACTTATTATACTTTCAGAGCAGGGTTTCTCGACCTCAGCATTAGTACTGTTTTGGTCTAGACAATTTTTTGTGTTGAGAAGCCATTCTGGAAGCAGCATACTTGTCCTCTCCCTATGATGCCAGTAGCAGCACCTCCGCCTCAGTTGTGACAACCCAAAATCTCTCCAGACATTACCAAAATTGCCCCCAGTTGAGAAACATCATTTTCGAGTAGGAGTTTTAGAAGTCAATTTTTACCCCTTCATTTTACATGTAAGAACATGGATACTTGGAGAGATCAGTGCAGATGACTGCCCTAAATCTCATGGCTAATTAGCGACAGAATCAGGGCTAAAAAATGCTGACAACTCAACTGCTACAAAATTCAACTTTCATTATAACATTGTGCTTCCCTAGATTGCAGAGAAAAAAAAAAAATGATCTTCTCCATTGTCTGAAGAAGTGCTCTCTTTTTTAAACAGATGATACTAAGCAGCTGAATCTCCTCAAATTCTTTCACAAATAGAAAGCCATAAAAACAGACAGCAAGATGTCAGGATTTCTGACATAACTAAAAAAAAAAAAAAAAAAGTTTAATAATTCTCAGGTCTTACTGTTAGCTTTCCTGCAGTTTCTCCTTAAACTTGACCTATTTCCTATTTCAGTTTCAATTTATTCTTCAGTAGGAAATGTCTGGTTCAGTGATTATTCCATCACAGTTGCTGCCTTTCCTTGACATCTCCAGAGATAAAACTAATTTCCCCTACTTTAAAACAGGCACAGTAAAACTTGAGGCAAATAGTGTTAACATTATGCTGTGTTCAGCATATTTAATGACCATTTCTCATGAATACAATCCAGTATGGCTGATGCCAACATTCCTCTGCTCATCGGGAGAATGATGAGGGTTGCCTCATCATATCAAGCTCACTATACACAGTGAACTTGACAACAAAAGGATCACAAGATCACAAGTGAAAAGAGAGTTCCAAAGTGAATTCAAGTTACAGTGGGTTTGTTTTGCAGTGGTAACTTAGATAATTTTTATGCTGTTTCCTGCCTTTGAAGTGGGGAAGTGATTTTAATTTGTTAAATGTATAAATAAAGGCAAGCAATAGATCACAAAGAAGCTACAGAAATATAGGTATGGGATCATTTTTATAGTCTTTCTACAAAATGGTGTTTCAGAAAGATAATACTTATTTTATTTTTTATTTATTTTTTTGGTCTGCACCCTGAGGCTTGTGGGATCTTAGTTCCCTGACCAGGGATTGAACCCTGGCCCTTGCAGTGAAAGTATGGAATCCTCACCACTTGACCACCAGGGAATTACTAGATAATGCTTTTTTTTAATAGTGGAGGGCAAGGGGTAGGCTCTAAGCAACCAAAGATGAGGTAAAATTTTCAGCTAGTGGATACAGACATTCAGCTTGACAGTAGTGGCCTGAAAGGGTAGGGACTGTATCTGTTTGTTCATTGCTACATCCCAAGCACCTACCATATAGTAGGCATTAAATACATACCTAGATGGTCAATACATTAAATATCTGTTAAATAAACATAGAGGATGTTAAATACTGATGGCAGCAAGCAAAGTATGGATAAAATAAAAATAAACGAAGGAATGAGGAAAGATAATACAGTTGGGGTTTCTGGTTCTTCATGCAGAGGCTGGAAGTAGTAAGTCAAAATAAAATAAATATCCCACAAAACAGTTACGAGTCTCACAGAGTAGGTAGGATTATAAACCATATTTAAGTGTTGAAGTGAAGAGGGCAAATGAGATTTGTGTGCGTCTGTTTCCTAAAACAGTGCTCTATAATGTCTATATTCCTAAACAATTTTTGATGTTGAAATTTAGTTTTTAGTTTTTCACCACACAGTCAGGTAGAATGTTGCTTTTAAGTATGGAAAATTCAGAAAGCATCTTCTTGGGGGTGTAAATAAATAACATGTACTTGATTTGTGATGTTAAATAATGCTAAATTTTATAACAAAGAAAGCAATAAACCTTTGGTCCCCTCTCCCCATCCCCCTGCAGACAACCACTTTATTTATTTATTTTTTTTTTTCAGACAACCACTTTAAAACCTCTACTTTCTTATATAGCAGACAAGGACTTTAGTTCTCCTCTGCCTCATTTTCTCCTCCCTGCCATCCTCCCAAAGCAGAAGTTAAGTAAAAGGCTGATGGTTATTTGGAAAGTCACACTCAGAACTTTCTGAAGCTGAAACCTATTTTCTTTCCACATACTACACACCAAAACCAATAATGCCATGGGATTTAAAATCAACCACACTAATTACTACATGCAAAGAAATCCAAAAGCCATAATGCGGATTTTCACAGAAGGCATTCCTTTGATAATTTGGCTTGCAAAACACAACGCATGACATTAGTAATTGGCTAAGTAAAATCTTAAGTTTTAAGAACAGAAATTTTTCATGCCTTATTTTGAATAATCAGTTACCTCAAATTGGTTGAAGTATGGGTGCAGATGTAAGCCAGAAATCCTACCAAGATATTGCCATGGAGAGAGAGAGGGAAAAAAAACACCAAAGACAGAGAAAGAAAGAATGGTCATCTTTACTAAAGGTTATTTACTCAAAACTATTTTAAGGTATAAAGTAGGAAGATTATGACAAAATGACATTTTTCCAGTATGTTTTATTACCATCTCTCATTCTGTCATCAATTAAGAGCTTCAAAATACCCAACAACTATAGAGACATGTTAAAATATCTTTAAAATAGTCTACTTGTTGTTTTCTAATATTATAAAAATAAACAGAAGGTAAATTTGTGTCAAAATTTATAATGATCTGAAATAAAAAGCCACCCTACTTTGTTCATTGGCAATGTGACACTGGATTAAAAAAAAGGTAAATAAAAAATTACCTTCACTGCTGCAGTGACGGCAGCAGTAGCTGCTAAATTTAAACCTTGCCGCCCAAAGTTTACCATAGTTTCGTAGCCTCGTTCTTTAGCTTGGACAATATAATCATCAATTTCCTGGAAAAAAAAAATCAAGCCCATAGATATTAATTTTATTTAAAAAGAATGTCAAGAAACTGAAAACTAGGACTTTCCCCCCTAATATAATAGTTTCACTCATTCTATAGCATGCAACATGTGATGATGAAACACATTTCTAACAAATGATTTGTGGAAATAATTTATACATCTTACCCTTTCCTTTGAAGAAAGTAGTGGATGAAGGAATTTTCTATATATTAAACTTGCTCCTCTGGTATAAGGAGAGAGTAGCCATATGACAAAAGCAATCTTCAGCTCATAGTAGAGGGGGAACCTGACAAGAAAAAAGTTGAAAAGAATGCTGGTGAAAATAAACTACAGACAATGAGGAAATCACACACAAAATTTTTTTTAAAGTTCAGTCACTGTGTTACGCTTTCACAGGTAAGAAGTTGTGATCAGGAAAACTACTAAGTTTGAACTGACAAATTAATCTCACTAATTATATAGATCAGAGCAGCCTGTCTCCTTGCAGCGATTCACAACTTCTAGTTCAAAGTTGTTCCATTCATGCACATTTTTAAAAAAAACTGTTTACTTTTGGGCTGCACCTCCATGGATGTTGGATCTTAGACCAGGGATCAAACCTGCACCCCTTGCATTGGAAGGGAGCGTCTTAACCACTGGACAGCCAAGGAAGTTCCAAGATTACTCTCTATAGGCAAAGACAGACAAGCTGCCAAACTAACTGGAGCAGTTCAGAGGGGTCATTCAGTTCAGGTTCAGTTCAGTTCAGTCGCTCAGTCGTGTCCGACTCTTTGCAACCCCGCTGACTGCAGCACGCCAGGCCTCCCTGTCCATCACCAACTCCCGGAGTTTACTCAAACTCATGCCCATTGAGTCGGTGATGCCATCCAACTATCTCTTCCTCTGTTGTCCCCTTCTCCTCCGGCCTTCAATCTTTCCCAGCATCAGGGTCTTTTCCAATAAGTCAGTTCTTTGCATCTGGTGGCCAAAGTATTGGGGTTTCAGTTTCAGCATTAGTCCTTCCAATGAATATTTAGGACTGATTTCCTTTAGGATGGACTGGTTGGATCTCCTTGCAGTCCAAGAGTCTTCTCCAACACCACAGTTCAAAAGCATTAATTCTTCGGTGCTCAGCTTTCTTTATAGTCCAACTCTCACATCCATACATGACTACTGGAAAAACCACAGCCTTGACTAGATGGACCTTTGTTGGCAGAGGTCATTAAAAGCATTTAACCAGGACAGTAAGGTGTACCCACCCTGTCTGCAGAGCCTAGCTGCCATGGCATTAGCAGGACACACCTCCCAAGTGTTAGGTGTGTTTCTAAGCATTTATAAGCTCCAAGTGTGCAATGTTACCCCTTATGCACATCTCCTCTTAGAGCTCCCAGAAAACATCATCCCCCTCCAATTTCACTTGGCCAGAATTGCAGCACTTGACAGACCTAAGTTGTTCACTTGGAAGGAAAATGGAATTTCCATTGTGGTAACCTGAAATTAGGGTTATACACCCGTGCCCCTTCCCACTTGGGTTTTTCAGCATCTTCTCCCATAGGCTGACTACACTTCCTCAAGCAAGGACTGTGGGCTTAGTCATCTGACCTGCTCTGTGCAACAGAATGTGAGTGCAACATATGCTAAATGCAAAGAAAAGCTTTAAATGTCCTTTGACTCCCTCACTTCAACACCCCCCAACCTCTTGCTTTCAACTTCTGCTTCCTGTCATGGGAATATCTGCTTCTTCAGCCTTGGTCCATGAACAAGAAGACACTTAGAACTGAGCTGAGCCCAGGAAGGCTGGCAGCTGACTATTTGTCTTCATATACCCTGAGCAAGAAATGAATGAATGTTTTTTAACCCATTGTGCTTTTAGGGTTGTTTGTAGCCATAGCAAAAGTGAAGTAATACAGCAGAAGGGAACAAGCATCCTGTGGTCTACGCACTACTAAGATACATGATAAAAAGTCTGGGCTCTTCTGATGAGACAGGTGGGCAGGGGGCAGTGAGGACCGACTACTGTATAGATGAAGGGTTTCCGCACAGTGCAGTTACAGAGGAGTCTCTGGACTTCCGTTGCTCATGACAAGTTTTTTCTACTTTGTTTACTTTTTAATACTGTATACATGTACATTTTCAACCAGAAAAAAAGAGATGCATTTAAAGAGAGAACATGGAAACTTGAGAGCCCTAGCATGCCTAGCATGGTTTAGAACCTGTTCTGTCACTTAAAAACAAACAAAAAACAAAAAAAAAACCCTCCCCAAACCCCTTTACCAAAACATAACAGAAAAATGAACTGTGGGACAGAAGGAGGAAGAGAAAGATGGATGCAGATACAGAGAAGTTGATACATAAGGGTTGGTTGTGAAGAACATTTAAGTCTCATGACTTCTATTTTTTTCTGAGCCATCCAATGTGACCTAGTGTGCTATGAGAATATGATGAGACTTAAAAAGTCAGAAAGACAGTTAAAGCAGAGAACAGTAAAGATCTGAAACAGAAACAGGAAGGAATGGAAGTAGCCACTGACCAAAAGCAAGTAAAAGGAATGGTGACTTTCAAACTGATACCTATATGAGCAACTGAGTGATTTCTTTTCAGCTCAGTTGGCAGCCTGGGTAAAGAAGAAAAGAGGAGTGTCGTTGGGCTGATTTAAGTTGGGGGTTTGTGCAGTACAGGTGGTTGAAGATAGTGGTGAGGTAGTAAAAGTTTAGAGTTTGAAAAAACGACTTCTCCAAGTGATGGCAAGGTACAGCTGGAAATACACTACTGAAATATGGCTCAAGGAGACTCAGGTTGTTCCACTCAGTATGACTTCTCAGTAAAATGTTCGATCCTTGAGGTTAGAAACATGTTTCAATCCTGCTTCATGCTGTTTGGAATAGGGCAGTCAAGGAGCTGTGTTGGGAGCGGGTGGTTGGCCGTGTGGACTTGATGTCATCCAGTTTGAATGTTTGTGGATGATGATTTTAAGGATGGGAGGGAAGTGCTAAAACTATAAGCAAAATGGGAGTTTGCTCAGGAAATATTAATAAAGAAAAAATAGTCTGAAGTCATCAGTGGGGAAAAAAGATGACAATCAAGTTTTCTCTGTCCTGAGATCCTGGGAGGTGTGTGGGAGGAGGGCGGGAGGAAGTGGCACGTGGGCGGGAGGATGAACTGCCTTTACGTGGGGGACTCCATAAGGAAGGTAATGTCCTTGTGGGGAAACCAGGTAAAGGAAATGATACAAGGGATAATCAGGTAGACTGATGAAACTCATTTAGTTAGGGATGGACTTCCCTGGTGGTCCAGTGGTTAAGAATCCTCCTTGCACTGCAGGGGCATGAGTTTGATCCCTGTTTGGGGAACTAAGATCCCACCCACATGTCACAGAACAACGGAGTCTGCGTGTCACAAGGAAAGATGCCCTGCGATGCAAAAAAGATCTCACATGCTGCAACTCAGACATGACATAGCCAAACAAATAAATAAAATTTTAAAAATTTTATTTAAAAAATTCTCTTAGTTAACAGCAAGAGCAGGATAAGAACTCAGGACACCAGATAAGAGTCTACATTATGGACATTTCTCAATGCTAGAACTTACCAAGCTACTGTTTGATCTGCTACTGTTTCAATTACAGTATACAGGGCAAAGACAATCCAGTACATCATCCATCGAACCTGCAAATAATAAAAATACTTATGAAATAGACCAAAATTATTTGTGACTCTGAATAGTCATATATATCATACATAGTATGCTGGATTAAATGAAGAAGGCGATGGTTTAATTCCCAACAGGTTTTACGCCTGACTTCCTCACATCACCACATTGGGTTGTCCTGAGATATAAGAATTGAAGGATAACAAACCTCTAGGCTTAATACAGTATAATGCAGGAAACTAAATGAAAAAATAGGACATATTTTTCTTAACTAAAGGAAAATTCTTTAAAAGATCTTATTACATGCTTTTTTATGAAGACTATTAACTGTTTAATTATTATAGAAACCATATAGTATGATATGACCACATTTAATCTTTATTAGTCTTTTAAATCTTGCATTCCTTATTTCTCAATATATCAGTCTTTGGAAACCAAAGACTGATCCTGGATTTGTTACATGCATAATGCTAGTCACCCACTTTGAAAGTCTAAGGTTAGTATCTTCTTCCTCCTTCCCTAAATGTAAGCCTGTAATCTTTTACATATCCTTTTCCTTCTTCTACTCTAATACTGTAAGAGTCGATGCAATAGACCAAATATTTGTGTTCCCCCAAAATTAGTATTTTGAAATCCTAACCCCAAATGTGGGAGGTTATTAGATCATGAGTCCTCACGAATGTGATTGGTGACACAGCAAAAAGACAGCCATCTATCAATCAGGAAGAGGGCCCTCGTCAAACGCAGAATCTACCCGCATCTTGATCTTAGACGTCTTAGCCTCCTGAACTGTGAGAATAAATTTCTGTTGTTTATAAACTAGTCTGTCTATGTTATAGCAGTCTGAATGGACTAAGAGAGTAATTCCAGATATTTTTACCTCTTGACTGGACTAGAGCATCCTATAAGGTCCCTGAGACTCTGTGTCTCTGGAGCAATCCTTCTCACAGAATGGTGCCATATTCATTCTTCTTGAACTCATTCTCACAAATTTATACCTTTCCACCTCCCTAAGCACACAGACTCTTTTATCACTCACATAGATTGGATTTTCATTAAGGGTTAAAATCTCTGCTTTCTCAATAATGTAATTATAGCTAACACAAAAAAATCATGCCAACTATAGGCCAGAGACTGTGCTAAGAGCATCACATATATTGATTCACTTATCCCCCAGAACATTTATACATAAGTATATAACTATCAGGAACTGGTGGCACAGAGAGGTAAAACGACTTATTCAAGTTCATTTAGCCAGAATTTGAATCCAGGCTGCCTGGCTCTCGAATTGGTGCTATTATCCAATTTTACCATGTACAGAAAGGAATGTGAGGAATTGCTGAACGTGAGGTCCAAGAATAACCACTACTTCCCTATTCTCATCACAATAAGTTGACAAAAAAAAAAATTAGGTCTCTATAATTAGTTAAAAAATTGACCTATCTAGTTTTAATACAGGTGCTTCTTTGGGTATTTTATAAATATGAAACTATAACTCAGGCAGCGTTAACAGTTTTCTGTTTGGACAAATCAACGAAAAACAGCCATGAATAACTTCTGAAACAACGTGTTGTGACATATGAAGAGTAATTTACCTTGTGTGTATGTGTGTGTACCTGCTCAGTCGTGTCTGATTTGTTGTGACCCCACAGACTGCAGCCTGCCAGGCTCCTCTGTCCATGGGATTTCCCAGGCAAGAATACTGCAGTGGGTTCCCATTTCCTTCTTTAGGGGATCTTCCCAACCCAGGGGTTGAACCCGTGTCTCTTGCACTGCAGGTAGACACTTTACATTGAGCCACCTGGGAAGCCCAATTTACCACTTAAGAGCTTAATAAACTGCCCAAAGCAAATAGCACATTGCTGCTGCTGCTGCTGAGTCGCTTCAGTCGTGTCCGACTCTGTGCGACCCCAGAGACGAGACGGCAGCCCACCCGGCTCCCCCGTCCCCGAGATTCTCCAGGCAAGAACACTGGAGTGGGTTGCCATTTCCTCCTCCAAAATAGCACATTATCTACATTTAAAATACAATGAAACCAATTTATGATTATCATCTCAAATTTTAAAAAAAAGTTAGACTAAATATTCTCTTCAGTTTTTCACTTTTCACGAGTTACTTTACTCCCTCACTGCTGCCAATTCCAAGCTTTTTGTCCCAGTCTGGAGACTTTTATCCAGGGTTAAAATCCTATGTGTTTTCTCTTGCTGCCCCCTTCTTTTAAAAGCAAAGTGAAGCTCTCACACAAGTTCATTCATTTAGCCTTTCCAAATCAAATATTAATTTAGCACTTTTACCTTTCAACTGTATTCACAAGGTTATCCTCTCAAAAAGAAATGAAAGGGAAAAACCTGGAAACAAAACAGTGTACTTTTATAGGGCTAGAAGGGACCCTGGAGGTGATCAAGTTTTTTTGAACTAAACAAGTCTTTATTGAAAACAACTGTAAAACAATTACAAAAAAACACACCCTGCTCTTGTTGGTCCCTCCACTCTAGTCACTGTAGGACTCTTGAGGAGACTCTAAGAAATCCCAGTGCTCCATGGGGCAGAGTTAAAAAATAAATAACACAGCAAACTCCTCTCCTTTTACTGAGGGCCAAAATAAGTAAGTTGTGCAAGAGGCTGAGCTGGGAAATGGGCACAGGGCCATAGTCTACAATGAAGCCTGAAAAAGGCAGATTTTCAAACAAGAGGCTGTTGTCAGATCAATCTTTTCATTTCTCTCCCTCTCCCTCTTGCACTCAGCACAAGGATTTCAGTGTAAACCTTACCACCTTCTTTCCTGGGAAAGTGGCAGCTTAAGTTAACTGGTCTCTCATAGGAAGTTTAGGAAACTTTCAGAAAAATAAATGACTTAAGTCAATGCTTGTTATTTTTTCATTATTTCATATTTTCATCATTTTACTATTTCACAGCCCTCATTATGGCTGTGATCTTCGAAATGGATAAGAATGAAAAACAACAGTCCACAAATAGTCGTAATTTACCTGACAGAGTTGAATAGAGGTGAAAGGAACTGTACGGGTAGTTAATGCTTGGTGATACTCCCTGAAATACTAGTTCTCAAATAGACTTGAGCTGCTAGAGCCCCATACATTCCAAAAGCACCCTGACTTCAGTGAAGTCAAGCACTCATTCAGTTTTCAAATTCATTTTATTTATTTTCATTTGTTAATTTTTGGCTGCGCCAGGTATTAGCTGTGCCATGTGATCTCTTAGTTGCAGCGGGTGGGATCTAGTTCCTTGGCCAGGATAGATCCTGTGCCCCCTGCATTGACAGCACAGAGTCTTAGCCACTGGATCATCAGAGAAGTTCCTCAAATTCATTTTAAAACCCACCAAATATATAAGTTTTTTCACATATATAATGTTTACCTCTAAAAAAAAAAAAGACTATATTTATTTAGGTTATGAGAATGTTAAATGATGCCAAAAATTTAAAAAGGAGAAAAGAAGAGAAAGAAGGCTCTGTTTTTTTAATTAAAAAACAATAACAAACTATACAATTAATAGTGTATTCCTAGTCATTTTCCTGAGGTATTGGCTCAATTTTATATAAGCAAAACTCCATGGTTCTAATTTATCTTTAACAACTATATTCTTTGACAATCTGCTCTCATAAATTTATGTATTTTTTTGTTTTCCTTATTAGAAATATGGACCTTAACTATAGTTGAATTGAGGTAATAATTAAATGAGTGCAGTGAGTGTGTGTTATTCATGTGAGCAAGTATGAAGAAAGTTAACCTTGAAGAGATATTGCTTTCTTTTTCCTATTAATGGATTTGGTTGGGATTTTACACCAAATGATTACTCAGCAAACCTTTTATTAAAACTATACCTCAAGGCTGTTCAGCCTACTCTTTCAGGTCCAGCCAACAGAAAATAACAGAATGAAGTCAAGGTCAAAAAAAAGGGAAGAAAGAAAAGAGCAAGACACAAAATGCTAATTAAAAATATGTTAAGGTAAAATATTCTTTAGCTGGACAGAAAACATCAATAACAAAATGTAGTACTAAAATAAAAAAGCTGGTAGGAAAACAATGCAAACTGATAATCTCATGATTGTATATAACCAAATCTAATAGAAATAAATACTATTAAAATGTTATGCAAATAAAAGTCAGTAACTTAACAGGCAGCTGTAATATATCATAATCCACCTTTAAAGTTACAGGAAAAAAAATTTATCTTCTTAAGAAAGTGGGAAGAAATTCAGTTTCTTTCCAGTTCAGAAACAATTGGTAAAATCAACATACCAATGTTTAGATATCTTCATGAGAACAATGAATAAGAAAGCTACTCAAAAAATGGTGGAGAGAGTGTGGTGAGAAGGGAACCCTCCTACACTGTTGGTGGGAATGTAAACTGGTACAGCCACTATGGAGAACAGTATGGAGGTTCCTTAAAAAGCTAAAATTAGAGCTACCATATGACCCCGCAATCCCACTCCTGGCATATATCCAGAGAAAAATATGATCCAAAAGGATACAGGCACCCCAATGTTCATTGCTGCACTGTTTACAATAGCAAAGACGCGGGAGCAAATGGAATGTCCATCGACAGAGGAATGGATAAAGATGCAGCACAAACATACTCAGCCATTACAAAGAACGAGACAACGCCATCTGCAGCAACATGTAGGGACCTAGAGAGTGTCACCCCGAGCGAGTGAGTCAGACAGAGGAGGAGAACGCCGTATGACCTCCCTCATATGTGGACTCTAGGAAGAAATGGTACAAACGGACTTAATTATAAAACAGAAAGAGACTCACAGACTTAGAAGATGAACTCAGGGTTGCTGGGGCTTGGGGGGCGGGCAGGGATAATTAGGGAGTTTGGGAAGTTCATGTACACATTGTTATATTTAAAATGGATAACCAACAAGGGCATACTGTATAGAAAAAAAAAAAGAAAAAGAAGAAAGCTTTTTCTTTACTCAATTCAAAAAGCTTTACTCAACTTTTTCTTAGAAGTCTTTTTGACCCCAGGAAGTTGATGATCCAACAAGGTGGAG